AAAAAAAAAAAAAAAAAAAAAAAAAAAAAAACGTGGAAAAGCTTTTGATGGACCCAGGTCAAGATACCGGGCCCCCAGTCCCACTAGCAGCGCTGAGCTTTCCTCAAACACCTGACTCTGGACGTGTTTGTGGAGATGTGCGGTTAAGGAAAGTCAACACGATTTCTGCACATCTCCACAAACACGTCCAGATTCAGCCGTTGAGGAAACTCGACGCTGCTACTGGGACTTGGCCCCGGGGTGCCCTGATTCTCCATTTGCAGCCGTCGATCTTGGAACCGACGGTCAGAAACGAACACTCTGGGTATGTGGGACTTCGGCCCCGATCCAGCATTAAAGAAAAAACAGGGGGACAAAAAGAAACCAAAACACACACAAAAAATAAAAAGCAATAGGGACCGAGATCCTGCTGTGTAACCGACTGCTGCAGAATTTTCAAAACTGCTGAGCTAGCTATCAACCCAGACTTCTTCTTCTGCTTCTGCTTCTTCTTTTTTTTTTTAATACAAAAAAACCCTTCCCCTTTTATTATAAACAGGCCCAGTGCCCAAGGCTTACATCAATCATGGCAAATGTCCTCCAGATTCAGAGGCCAACTGGCCTCAAACCCTACACCCCAGGCAGAGCCTCGCCCCTGTAGCAAAGAACTACAAAAGCAAAAAAGTTGAAATACCTATAGATGCGACACACTACAAAAAACACTCCTAAATATCTAGGCTACTAGAGTGGCTCGGGACCACTTGCCCGGCCGGGCTAAAAACAAAAAATATATTAAAAATATATATTTTCCAAATTTAATTTTTATTTAAAATTTGGTAAAGAATTCCGATGTGAAGCCCAGTGGGGCGATGTACATATATAACCGAGGATCCGCAATGTGATGAAAAGGACTGAATCGACAATGCAGTGCAAGTGAAATCTCAACAAGCAGTGGACATCCTGATACATACAAAAATTGTGCTTGATAGGGCAGGGGAAAACTTAGATACAAGTCCTGACCTGACCGGGACTGACCTCCTTCACGTAGTACAGAACAGCGCAGCAGAATGCTAGAATACCAATGACGAGCCCAATCAATGTTGCAATGCAGACTAAACATACATCATCTTCATCACAAGATGTGAAGGGAGCCTGGTGCTACACACAGGAAGAACGCGCCAGGTCCAGATCATGCACAGACGAAAGAGGAGGGAAACAGACGAAGAAGAGGAGGGGGGAGATGGGAAAGTCGTCAACACCAGGTCTTTGTTACAAGTCCCAAATAATCCCTCGTCAAAATGTCTGAAGCCCAATGTCGAGTGTGGATCCAAATGTCACCAAGCTCTCTCTCTCTCTCGTAGTCTGCTGATGCAGTGAAGTCAGGTAGCGAGAGGGTGAGAGGGAGATGGTGGACTGAGAAGAGGAAGAAGAACTCTCTC